CCTGCTGCCGGTGTGAAGAGAGAGCGGTGAATGGTTTAGCCTAATGTAATTAGTGGAACAGATATCAGAGCCGCTGAAGGTAAACTGTGGTAAATCACATTTGCTTGGTTCTTCATCACAGTTAGAACTTCTTTCTTTCTACTTTCAGGCTGCCGAACGTGTTAAATATATAATTCCCCGATGCTCAAGACAAACATTTTGAGAAAAACATCTTTTTCCCCCCATGTTTTTCACAGCTTTTTTTTTTAATGCATAACCAAACATTATTTTTGGACCACGTTGACAGCTCTATCCTTGGTTTGGGTGTTGTTCACTATTTTATTTTATTTTTTTGCATTTATTTCAGGATTTAACAAGCATCGTCTAATCTGAATTTCAAAATAGTTACTTATTCAGATAAAAACAAATTTAATTCAGGTTTTTTTTCCTACAGATTTTATACTGGCATTTAAGTGATCTCTTAAATAAAAAAAAAAAAGATTAAAAAGTAAAAAAAAATCTGTTTTATAATTAGTTATAAACTCAGGTGACACTTTAGATGTGTTGTTTTGCCCAAGTAAATTTCAAAAACATTAAATTTTTTAAACTCAAAACTTAAAAAAAGCTCCTGTTTTTTGCAGCTGTGGTGCACCTCGTCTCGATGACCAGTTTTCACTCGTTTCTATAACAGAAAAAAACGTCTCTCTGGCTATGCACATATGTTTAAATCTAGCAAACTGTTTACACAATCCATGAAATCTCCAAAGGAGATGAAGAGGAGGATTGTGGTGTCAAAGCCGAACAGAAATATCTCTGTAAGGCTGCTCTGTGTTCGCTGAATGGCTGAGATTAACTTTCACACAGCTCACGCACCTTAATGCTGTGATTTCTGCAGGCTAGCACAGAAGAATATACCATGTTTTGGCAAATAAGTTCTTTGATCAACTTATCACGGTGTGCCAACTGGGGTTAAAAATAAAACCACAGCTTTTCTCAGGCGGCTTCACGCAGCACTTTGATCTCCCGTTTGACTAGCACAACATTTTTGGATGTATTCAGTCAGAACTCAGCGAGATGTACAGTTCTGGCCAAGAGGATATCTTTAAAAATACAGAAATTGGGATAGAGCTGTTAAAAATGTTTTCCTTTCTTTGGCGAGAATATGAAAATCTTGTTTGTGATCCATTTCAAAGGATATGCTACATCTCCAGCACGGATTCCTTTTTTTTTTTTAAGGAGATGCCAAATAACTTTAAAAGAAAATCGTTGGTATCACGCTGTTTTTCAATCCTTCTCAAGTTGTTGTAGAGGCGATCAGACTGAAGGAAAAAATGAGCTTGTAGCATAAAAAGAATGAACTCTTCTTGATTAATTCTGCAGCAGCATGAAAAATCTTTTCTTTTCTTTTAAAAGAACAGTTCCACAAAGAAGGAAAAGGTTGAACCTCTGATTTGTGCTATTTACATTATTTCCACTGGATAAAGTCACACGCACAACACTCGCTGCAGACATTTGTATGTACAAAGGCGCACAGTTGAATGAGCACAACCCAGACAAAGACACACACACACAAACACACGCTCCAAAGCAGGCTGGCACTCGTCTTTGCCCGTCTCGCGCCTTTCGCTCCACCAACACAATACTGTCACATTTTGGCGTGTCACATGGACTCGGAGACAGACAAGGCTGCATTATCAACAACTGGCTGGGGATGTGTGTGCGCGTGTGTGTGTGTGTGTGTGTGTGTATCAGAGCTCAAGTGTGTGCGTGAGAGTGAGAAAGAGTGTTAGAGTTCAGGTTAAGGCTGAGCCGTCAGCGGCAGACAAGCCCCATCAAGTCTCCCTCCTCTGTCTAACACGCACTCAGCCTCTCGCCTCAGGAGGTGAGAAGCCGCTAATTGGCAAAGGGCGAAACACACACACAGACACACACACACACTTGCTTTAACACTACACACACACACACGGACTGACGGTCAGCTACAGTCGTACACAGAATAGTACGAACAAAGAGACAGAAATACAAAGAGACAGATGGACACACACACACACACAAGTCTGGCTCTGAGAGGCAACACTACAGTTTGTGTCTGCTGCGCACAGCTCGACCTGGTAGACGCGCGCACATTACTGTAGCTAATAATACACGCTGTCTGCCTGCTGACTTTCTCCTCAACTTTCTCACTTAGTTATTATTGCATGACTTGATGGTTTTTAGTCACTTATATATTAATAGACTCTTTGAGTTGAGCCTGCGCACAGAGCTGACCTTAAAAGAGGGAATGCTCGTCCTCTGCTCTTTGGTTTTCAAACAAAGCTCAATTAAACCTCAGCTGCCCATGAAATCAACTCTTTAGAAACCGTTTTTATGAGATTTATACAGACATGTCATTAAAATGGGTCATATTAAACGGGACTAATAATAGACAAATGTATTTTTCCAAGTTGCTTTTTGTCACTTGCAACATAAACTGCACAGTTTTAGGAGCCGCTGTTGCGTACATCGATGGAAAATTTGAACATCTAAAGTCTCAGAACAAACTGGGAAACTATAATGAATGACATTGTGTTGCCAACAACTTTGATCCTTCACATTTAAAATGATTTAAGTTACTTCATAACCATGCAGGGAACAGCAATGAGAGTTGGGCAGAATGGTAAAACCTTCCATCCAGCCACTAGTGGGCCATTCAAACCACGAAGCCAGGAAAATACTACAACTACAACCAAATTACAAAAAATGTCACCTAAAAATAACAATCTGGTAATCTAATTAGCAAACCTCTGATGGCTGATATATTTATCCAGTCGTCCCACCGTATATTGCAATGTTCTGGCTTCTTCCCGTCTCTCTAAGACTGAGTACAGGCACTATGAGAGAAGCTCATTTCTGCTGCTTGTATCCATGATCTTATTGTTTTGGTCACTACCCAACAGACTGTTGTCATAGGTAAGAGTAGCACACAGATCAACTGGTGAAACACAGCTTTCATGCTCAGCTCTCTCTTTACCAAGGCATCTGTCAGTCTTCTAAACCACTCACCCACATCATGCACAAGACCTCGAGAGACTAGTGGAATAGACCCTATTCCAACTAACACTGCCCGAGATGTGGGATACAGTATTGGATAGGCTGGACTACCCAAAGAGAACCTACACAAGCACATGGAGAAGAAGCAAACTCTTTACAGAAAGGCCCCATTCTTCCTGTGCTGGTGACAGTACTAACCAGTGTACCAACATGCATCCAGCCACAGCTGTGAGAAGTTTAGACAGCAAACCAATAAAAACAATGTTTAAACAGTATTGTGTGCATGCCTCTCACCCTATGAGAGCTGGGATATTGTTCAGCACCCCTGCTCAACAAGCTTTACATCAACACCTCGCTTCATCACTGCTGCGACAAAAGGATAAAGACACGAGAGCACCCACTCCACACTGCTGCATACTGCTGCCACAGCCCAGGACTCTGACACGGCATCCCAAGAAGGTAAGCGCTGGGCTGAGTGTGTGTGTGTGTCAGCACTTTGTAAGGTTTGTACATGAGGGAAACAGAAAGGAGCTGGAACTTGAGAGTGTGCGTAGTGGGGAGGGTGGGGTCACAGACAGGTAAGCAGAGAGGGAGAGGGCAGAGCCAAAAACAGCACTAGCAGCACTAAATAATGCTTCAAAGCTCTTCTGCAGGTCTTGCACCGAGACCTTCAGGACAAGGAGAGCTGTGGTTGATTTGAATCATCTCTGACTGCTTTATGTACGATCAGCCATGCAGGCAAGGAACAAAAAAGATTGGTAGAGAGAATTCAAGCACATGCAGACTCTACCAGACAGGGGGGGGAAACACACCCCTGCCCTTAATGCAGCTCACCCGAGAACAGAGCTCTGTAATAGAATTAATGTAAACCCGATCAGTGGGCTGGAATACAGTAAAGGCACAGAGCAGTGCTCTGCTCCTGCACAGCATCACATATAGATCAGCATGTTTAAAGACTGTATTCTGTTGAAATTTGGATCCATGGCTTTCTAAGATGTAGCAGACACTGTTTTTTTTTTGGGGTTTTTTGCTACTGGACCATTTCTGCAAATCTCTGCAGCAGAGGTTTAGGTTTAGCAGAGCCTGGGTTAAGATAAAACATGACCATGCAGAGAGTATGGGTCACTTCGGGAACACTGTGGATCACATGCATGACGGGTGCTTTTAGTTTAAGCTTCATCATCACCTTCTTAAACCTCCAGCCAGGAAGGCAGGGTGCACTATATGAAGCGTGGGAGGGAGTCATGGGGTTCCTTAAATAGGTATCGGTCTCAAACTGGGAATGATGGGGAAGATGTTTCTGTGCTCCCTTATCACCCTACTCTGTTGCACAACTGTGGAGCAACTCTTGCCTGATGGAGCTTCTCGTGAGTGGGACCAGCTTACGTGCACCGCGCGCTTCATTTGCATAGGGAAAAAGTTGGAGAGCCTGTGGTCTGAGATATGAGTGACAGCTCAGGTGATCACCTTCCTAATCTAGCTTCCCGGCTAGCTTGTTCATCAAATCACACAGAACATGACAGCTAACGACACAGGATGCAGGCAGGGGGGAAAGCACACCTCTCAGTGTGCGTGTGCGTGTGTGTGTGTGTGTATATTCAGGGCGATAAATGATAAGAGCAAGTGCGGAGGTCACGGTCAGTGGGGAGGCGGCGATGCCCCGCAGGGACAGAGGCATAGCGGACTGCTGCTGTGGCCCCGGCAGGATGGACGGCTGCCAGAGCTAGCCTGCTCGCTGCTAATTTAGCCTAGCTGTGCTGTCTGGCGCAGCTTGGAAAAGCGGCTCCAACTCTAACCAGCAACTTAAACAGTCTGGCTCAAAGTCAGCCGCCCCTCACGCCGGCACAGCCTCGCTAGCGTTTTAGCCACATCAGCTAGCATAACCAGAACATTCCTGCAGCCGCCTACGATCACACACTGTGCATTTACCAAAAAAAAACAAAAAAAACCCCCACATATAAATTACTCAGAAAAGGTCTCAGGCTTCCTACCTGTGAATGCAGCCGCTAACTTGCAAAGCCACCGGGTCTGCTTGTTTAAAGTCTGGTGTTGTGTTGCTAGACGTCAAGTCCAACTGCACTACAGTGGTTTCCAGTCTGGGAAGCAAAATAAAGCCCAGCTGTCCTACTGTACAGTACATGCTGCTGACAGCCGGGCTCTACACAACGCTTTGGCGACACCTGCCGGGCACACGGCATTTAACAGGCAAAGTAGTAAAAGTTTGATAACTCGCTGTTCCAGAGGTCACACGGGTCAGGAGCAGATTTGCAGCAACATTCCCAGTTCACCGCTTCACTCAGGGACATTTCACAGTGATGTGAAATCTTGCAGAATTTAAAAGAGCTAGACCATGCAGTGCTTTAAAAGGAGCTGATACAATGCCAGCATGACTGATCAAACCGAATACAAGAAATTCAAATCAAATTCAAATTTTATTTGTCACGTACACAGTCATACACAGTACGATATGTAGTGAAATGCTTGGACAACTGCTTGTGACCTAAAGAGAACAAAAAAGGAAAAGGCTATGAATAAGATAGGAAATAAATATGAAAAATTTAAAAGGGTCAATTTAACTAGGAAGGAATAAAATATAAATTAAGGTTAAAAATGAAATAACTGTACAACACAAATTAGAATGAAGGGTAAATTTAACTGGGAAGAATAAGATAAAGATAAATATATAAATTAAAGTTGAAAATAAAATAACTGTACAACAAAATACACAATACACAATATAGAACTATATAAGAATGTATGAAGGAATCTAAATATAAATAAATATATACACAATAACAGCAGCTGTACAAGTATTAACCGGAAATGAAGAATATAGTGACCAGTGTTGTGCAAAACCAAAGTCCAGAAAGTCCAGTGTGTGTGTAAGAACCATATGTGTGGGTCAGTACTGTGTGGTGGTGTGATTGAGAGACCGTATCGCCTGCGGGAAGAAGCTCCTCCTCAGTCTCTCTGTGTTGGTCTTCAGGGAGCGGAATTGCTTTCCTGACCTCAACAGAGAGAACAGTCTGTTGTTGGGATGGCTGAGGTCCTTCACGATCTTCCTGGCCTTGGTCCAGCACCGCCTGCTGTAGATTGAGTGCAGGTCAGGGAGCTCGGAGCGGATGGTGCGCTCAGCTGACCGCACAACCCTCTCTAGAGCTCGTCTGTCCTGCATGGTGCTGTTCCCGAACCAGGTTAAGATGTTTCCCGCCAGGATGCTCTCTATGGTGCACGAGTAAAAGTTCCTGAGCACCTTGGAGGGCAGTTGGAAGTCTCTCAAGCGTCTGAGGTGGTAGAGACGCTGTCGGGCCTTTTTCACCACGGTGTTGATGTGACAGGACCATGACAGGTCCTGCGTGATGTGAACTCCGAGGTATTTGAAGCTGTCCACTCTCTCCACTGGGCACTCGTTGATGACGGGGGTCTGGTAGCTCCTCTCCTGCTTAGTGCTGAAGTCCACTATCAGCTCCTTTGTCTTACTGACGTTTAGAAGGAGGTTGTTCCTCTGGCACCAGTTCTCCAGATTCCTAATCTCCTTCAGGTAGGCCGTCTCGTTGTTATCAGAGATCAGGCCCACCACGACGGTGTCGTCAGCAAACTTGATGATGGTGGTGGAGCTGGTAGTGGCCACACAGTCATATGTGTACAAAGAGTACAGCAGGGGGCTCAGAACACACCCCTGGGGGGCTCCAGTGCTGAGAGTGGTGGAGGCTGAGACATGTCCGCCCATCCTTACTGCCTGTGGTCTGCCAGTTAGGAAGTTGGAGATCCACTGACACATAGATGAGCTGAGTCCCAGATGCTCCAGCTTGGTGGTGAGTGTGGAGGGAATTATGGTGTTAAATGCAGAGCTGTAGTCTATGAAGAGCATTTTAACATAATTCCCCCTTCTAGTGTCCAAGTGAGTGAGTGATGTGTGGAGGAGATGAGAGATGGCATCGTCTGTGGAACGATTTGGACGGTAAGCGAACTGTAGTGGGTCCAGTGTGTCTGGTAGTGAAGAAATGATGAAGTCTCTGACCAGGCGTTCAAAGCACTTCATCACTACTGAGGTGAGGGCTACAGGGCGATAGTCATTGAGAGAAGCAGGGTGGGGTTTCTTCGGGACAGGAACAATGATGGACTCTTTGAAGCATGTGGGGATCACCGACTGAGATAAAGAGATGTTGAATATCTCAGTGAACACAGGAGCTAGCTGGTATGCGCAGTCTCTTAGGATACGACCTGGGATGCCGTCTGGTCCTGCTGCTTTCCTGGTACTGGAATGTACTGTTATTCAGCTTTCCTTTATTCTCATTTGAATTTTTAAGGATTTAATGGCTTAATTGTTACCATTTTTATTCCAGCTAAGTCAGACTTTAATTTCAGGAAGTTTGCTTGAAGAAATCTGCTAAAATAAATCTGATTAAAAGTCAAATCTGGGATTTAAATAAAGCTAACTGAACAACTAACGCATGACTTTAGAGTAAGAAACATTTTCACTGTTCACTTGTTATTGTTAACGAACACGATGTCCAGAAATCCACTTACTAAAGCTCATTACATGGCAGCCAATCTGAATTTATACAGAGTAGTGCTTCCATCATGTGGAGGCTAGTTATGTCATTTATCCAAACCACTTAACAGAACTTGGATTTCTGAAAACACATCGCCTTCTTATAAAATAACTGGACTTTTGTTAGATTCTTTAACAAGTTGTAGCATTAAGTGAAAGCCTTATTGTACAGAAAGTCTGATTGAATGGACAAACAAACAAACAAAAAAAGTGAACATGAATATAAAGCTAGTGTTCAAGAATATATTTCATAAATCATATTTGTCCACTTTGATACCTTTCTGACAGCAATGTGGGCTAAAGGAAAAAAACAAAAGACACTGCACCTTCAATTGTCACAAAACTTTATTTAAACATATATTACATACAATATATTACATCATTGCTATTCAAAGCATGTGCAAATTGTAAATCAAAACATGTTGGGATGTTTAACAGTATACTGCCTTCATGTTAAAACCCACTACACAAGTAGGAAAAACTGTACAAAAGAATAGTGTTCTTCAGCGTGTTGTCACAATGTGTGGCACTAGCAGGTTAACAACACCCCCTTGATAAAGTTTCCCCATTTCCATCCCCTTCAATATCAAAACTGATTATGGAAGCAAATCCAAAACCCCCTGAGCAATTTTTGCCATTTGCCCCAGAGCCAAAAGAGGAAACAGGGAGATAATTTTCTGTGAGTGGAACAGTGATTAACACAAGTTTTGCCATGGCAACCATACTGAACAGACCTGGCAAGCTGCCGAATGAAAACCCCACCAGAGGAAACTCTTTTAGCATGTAATAACAATCATTAACCATCCTAATGTTGCTGTGAGCTGCCCTGAACATGACTAAATTAAGTACATCTGGGCTGTTTGGAATGAGCCTTGGAGGTTGTGGGGAAGTCAACACATGGTGCTGACAAAGGCTACTGCGCAGGTGGGCCCTGCAAGATGAAGAGCCATCTCCATAGAAACAAACACGAGTACAGAAGATTAGGAAAATGTTGTGAGATGCAGACAGAGCTAGAATAGCAGTTTTAAAATGTACTCCAGCAAAACTGAAGCTTTAAATCTATTCGGGTCCTTGTTTCAGTTAGGAGGTAATGGCAGAGATGACTCCACAGAGTTCTCAGACAAAAAGGTATGTATCCACTGTGTAACACAACAAACAGGCAAAAATGTGGCTTTTCCAAAAACAAAATCCCTGCAGTGATGTTACCAAACAGCAAACAAAGGCATTCCTGCATGCCCAGCTCCAATTAATTCCAAAGTATCTCAGCTGGTGCCGCTACTGTCCGACAGACCATGGCAACAGCAATGCTACTTTGTGACATGACTCAGAGAGAAAGCGAAACACCAGATCCAGAGTCAAGTGACAAAATGCATTAGCTCTCTGGAACACCGGGGCCGTGCAGACTAATTGTGAGCTGGACAGATTCAAACTACTCAGCTTCAGGCACAAACAGGCGCAATCATTTTTCATCGGCCAGCTGAGGACACCTGTGCCTTATCCACAGGCAGCTGGGGCTGTGTTGGCAGGAGTCTCAGTCAGTCCCCCTCAATCAGCTATAGCGTGCATCTCCAAACATGACGACAAGGAAGGATTTAAATCCAGAGGCTGACATTATTTGATCCTTAGACCTTATGCCTCTTATTCTGTCACTCACATCTCTCCCACGGTGAAGAGAACAGAGAGGAGCACCACCCAAAGCCAGGCGGCACGACGAGGTGGCGTGGGATGGTTAAAAACGGTGGATTCAAGGCAATGCCTCACCAGTCAGCTGAATAACAAGACTTCCGCTTGTTTCTGACTGGATGAGCAGCAAGCCGCTGTGTCCGCCTGCGGTACTGGGCTTGAACTGGACGGGTAGCTTCAGATAGTGCTGGGATCTAAAGGTCGAGGAAGAACAAAGGCGGTTACTGAACGGCTGGAACAATTTGAAATGTGTGTGTATACATAATGTGAAGAAGCACAAATATAGATTCAAAATGCATTCAAATATGCACTGCACTCATCTAAAAATAAATAAAATCCTACACTGTCACCGTTTCATATTGTTTCAAGTATAATTGATATCAGTCACAACCACTTTGCACAGTGATGGAACACTTGAACCTGAAATGAACAGTCCGTCTACTATTAATGCATCTTTTAGCCATTCTACAACAAAGCTTTAAAAAGTATTTTATTTGTGGATTAATTACTGTTTTCTAATGTTGTACAGAACAAATAATGAATCAATGGTGAAAACAATCACATGATGCAGCCATATATGGTAAATGGTAAATGGCCTGTATTTATATAGCGCTTTACTAGTCCCTAAGGACCCCAAAGTGCTTTACATATCCAGTCATCCACCCATTCACACACACATTCACACACTGGTGATGGCAGCTACATTGTAGCCACAGCCACCCTGGGGCGCACTGACAGAGGCGAGGCTGCCGGACACTGGCGCCACCGGGCCCTCTGACCACCACCAGTAGGCAACGGGTGAAGTGTCTTGCCCAACGACACAATGACCGAGACTGTCCAAGTTGGGGCTCGAACCGGCAACCTTCCGATTACAAGGCGAAC